CAGGTAAAACACTCATTCACACAAAATGATTAAAACGTTAAAAAAAAAATTAAAAAAAGAGAAAATCACATAGTTGGATGTGGTAGCACACACCTTTCATTCCAGCACACGGGAGGCAGAGGCAGGAGGATCTCTGTGAGTTCAAGGCCAGCCTGGTCTACAAAGAAAGTTCCAGGACAGCCAAGGCTACACAGAGAATCCCTGTCTTGGATAAAAAAGAGGTGTGTGTGTGTGGGGGGGGGGATCACAGTGCATTCAGGTCTTTGGTTTAAGATCATGGTTACCATTTCAGTTCCAATCAGCGTTTATAACACCATGGCAGATGCATTGATTGCATTCATTTTCCCACTTAGTGATCTCTTTAAACTATGACTCTTTCTTTTCAAGGCGACTCTGTGATTCTTGGAGATATGGAGCCTGTTTCCCACCCTTGAACTTAGTCCTGCTCTTTACTTCACCCACCACAATGAGGAACCCCCACAAGCTTTTTGTAAACAGGCTTGCTACATCACGCCTGTAAGCCCAGCACATAGGAAGCAGCGGCAGGAGGAGCTTGGACTACGTAATAAGACCTTTCCTCCAACACAACAAGCCTCTCGTGATGTGGATCTCTTTCCTCTGCTCTATCACAAGAACAGCTCAGATCCAAGGGTAGCCAGGTAGAGCAATGCCAAGTTATTCGTAAGCCAGGGCTATAAGGCCATAAGGCACCTTGTCAGTCTCTAAGCAATGGTCAGCCACCATACATGCAAATTTGCAGAAATGATCTGGTGAGTTAAACAAATACTCATTAAGTTAGGCATTGTGAGATATATATATATATATATATATATATATATATATATATATATATATGCTTATGTTATGTTTATGGCAGTATACTCAGCTTCTAGAAGACATACTGACCACTGCTACCCTGCTTGCTCCTGTCAGACAGACAAATGCCACTTTAAGTACTCTCACTTATCAACCAAACTACGTTGGGGGCCATTAAAACGTGTAAGGCTCAGGTTACTAACTTAGAAAACAGAGCTATTGGTATGTGGCATGGAAGAATCTAGTTACCCCAGTATGTGTCACTGTCCTCTCTCCAAGTTTTAGGTCCTAAAGTTTTTAGCTGGTTACGCAGTCACCCTCCCCTGTGTGTTTACGTGACCAATGAGATTGAGATGAAAGGAAAAAGCATGCTATGGCTTTCTAACAAAACAAATACATTTTCTCTTTTAAATTTTATTTATTAATTTTTTTTTTTTTTTTTTTTTTTTAGTTTTGGATTTTTGAGGCAGGATTTATCTGTGTAGCCTTGGCTCTCCTGGACTCGCTTTGTAGACCAGGCTAGCCTCAGAACTCACAGAGATCTGCCTGCCTCTGCCTCCAGTGTGCTGGGATGACAGGAGCGCGCCACAGCGTTCAGCTTATTAATTTTTATTTAAAGAGATACGGTCTTGCTCTGCTACCCAGCCTGGCCCCAAACTGGTATGCTCAAGCCGTCCTGCTGAATATTGGGGACTACAGAGCTTAGTCACCATGCCTGACCCTGCAGCAATATTTCTTTCTGTTTCTTGAGACAAGCTCTGGGGAGTAAGGTGAAAACAGCCCTCCGCTTGCCTCAGGAGATTCGTGTGCATAAGAAAAACTCTCTCCCGTTTAGTCCTTTAAGGCTTTAGGTTTCTGCTACTCCCAATTGAACCTAGTCTTGGCTAAGCTAAGCAGTCTTCGCTCTCCGGTCTTCTGGGTTCTGACAACAAAGCAGATAAGCACCTGATGTCAATTGTGTACACATCAGTAAATGAAAGTAGCTGTTTTCCTTTTACTTGATAAGAAAGTGGAGGCGTATCCACGGTTCCCCCGGCTACCGCTGAAGTCAGCGAAAAGCAAGGCTCAAGCTGCATGGTTTGCCTGAGACTACAGACCGGTGCCCCTTGACTTGCAGACTTGCATTCCCCGGAGCGACCTGCTGGGGGCAGGTGAGGCGGCACAGCAGGTAAGAGCGCTGGCGCTCAAGCCCGACAACTTTCTGTTCTTGTGACTTGGGTAACAGAAGGGGAGAACTGACCCCCCACACTTTGTCCTCCAACTTCCGTGTGCCATGTGCCACGGCATGCACACATATGTTCCCCTCCCCCACAAAACATCAATAATAAGTGTAATAATATTTTTTTTTAAAAGACTTTCCTTCTCAACTCATCTCACACTGAGAAAGTTTTACCTTGATGAGATTTAGGAAGCAGATGTCTATTAGCTCCGATAGTGCAGCACTTGCTTTGTCTAAGCCTAACTCTCCTACATAACAGCCTCTCAGCTATGGCAACATAGACAGGCTTTGAACATGTTCTGTATAATCCTCGTTTCCTCAGAGGCACTTTGAAACTTTATTAAGAAAACATAGCCACATATAATTGAAAAGTAATGTCATATATTTAAAATGCTATGTGTATTGTGGCGATATAGTTTCTTGACAAAAATATTGTACATCATCCTTGAAACATTAAAACCATTATTTCAGGTATTAGAAGGGGAGATAGTTTGTAGGAAATGATTAGCACAGAACCCTGCCACTAGCTGCTTGGTACTCCCGCTGTATAGATCATTATTCTGGGATGTGGAATGTCAGCAAAAAGGCGTACAGAGCCTCTCCCGGCACTCAGTCAAACTTTTAAAGACAAATTTTCCTCAGAAATATGGTGAACACAGAGAAGCCATTCATAATGAATTCCTCACGCAAAAAATTCTTTTAATATTCTGCCACTGGAGAAAGGACTCACAGAAAATACTGTTCAGGATGAACGCCACCTCTAAGAGCTATGCCAGCCGCAGATTAGCAGGGATGAAGATTCTGTGTCTGCTAAGGGATTTTGCAGGGTGAACCACAGAAGGCTTTTCAGTAAGTCCTATGCTGTGGAAATTGACAGAAAGGTTTGAAAGTGACTACTAAAAATTAGCAATTGGTAAGGACATTCCAACAAAGCCCAGCCTGGCAGTGGCGACTCATACCTTTAATCCCAGCTTTTGGGATGAAGAGACAGGCAGATCTCTGTGAGTTCAAGGGCAGCAAATTCTAGAGAAAAAGTTCTAGAGAGGGAATTCCAAGACATCCAGGGCTACACAAATAAACCCTGTCTCAGAAAAGCAAAAAAGGCAAAAAAAAAAAAAAAAAAAAAAAAAAGAAAGAAAGAAAAGAAAAAAGGAAAAAGGAAGGAAGGAAGGAAGAAGACAACCCGAGCAGACAAAATGTCGAAGTTAAGCAAAGGTTTCCAGGTATTACTGATTTACAGCCACCTGACTATTGAGACATAAAAGGACCAAGAAGAGTTAGTCAAGGTGAGCCTGACGGAGAGGCAGGTGGGTTGGTTGGCTGCATTAGCTTGGGAAAGCAGGACTTGCTTCTGGCAATATACACTGAGATGCCCAGTAAGAATCATCAGTTTTCAGTGGGGAGGTGGGCTTTTTGTTGTTGATCGGTTTTTGTAAGTATGTGTATACGTGTGTCTTTGTACAGATTTATGTGAATACAGTCCCTGAAGAGACAAGAGAAGTTGTCAGATTCCTTGGAATCAGAGTTATAAGCACAGAAGGATGTGGTGGTGCAAGCCTGTAATCCCAACACTCAGGGAGGCAGAGGCAGGTACATCTCTGTGAGTTCCAGGTCAGCCTGGTCAACAAAGGGAGTCCCGGACAGCCAGGGCTACACAGAGAAACCCTGTCTTGGGGAAAAAAAAAAAGTTACAGAGCCAGGCGTGGTGGCACATGCTTTTAATCCCAGCACTCAGGGAGGCAGAGGCAGGTGAATCACAGAGTTAGAGGTCAGGCTGGTCTACAAAGCGAGTCCAGAACAGCCAGGACTGGTACACAGGAAAACAGATAACTCTTCTCAAAGAGACTTACAGGGACGTGCGAGCTGTCTGCTGTGAATGCAGGGAACTGAACCAGGCCTCTGCAAAAGCAAAATGCAGTCTTAAACTGAGCTATCACTCCAAGGTGGGAAGCTTTTGTGTGATAGGTTTGGTACATGCTGTGCACACATCATGAAAGGCCAGAGGACCCTAGACGTCTTCCTCAATTACCCACTGCCTTATTCCCCTCCAATAAGGTCTCTTATGGAATAGGAACCTGAGCATTTGGGTGAGCCTGGCTGGATTTGAGGGCTCTGGCGGTCCATCTGGCTCCATTTCCTTCCCCCAGTGCTGGGGTTAGAGCTGTGTGCAGCTGTGCTTAGCTTTTTCTGAGTGCTGGGGATTTGAACCTCAGGTCTACTTGCTTCCAGGCCAAATGGTTATGTAACTTTTATTTGCCTGATTTAATTGCCATCTCCGAAGCTTATTGCTTCTGCCTGCTAACCTAGGCCTAGTCCTGGAAGCTTCTAGCCTCAGTACAATCTAACTTAGGCCTAGAATGTTTTCAGTCTCTGAGACTTACTGCTGCGTAAGCTCACTCTTTCTAGTTCTTTCTGAACTCTGGCTGTCTAACTCAGCTGTTTTAAACTCCTCTGCAAGCTGACTGAGTCAATTTGGCTTCTCTCTCGGCCTCTGAATTGCTTTGCCTGGCCTCAAACTAACTTTTAACAATCTGTTCTAATCTTTTAGCCCTTTTTCATTCTCTGGCTTGTTCTGTCTTTACCTGTGTCTAGCTTGCTCTCTCTTCAACCTATCTCTGTAAGACTCTACTGGTAAAACTGCCTCTGAATTCCATGAACTGAGAGCTGCCTCTCAACTTCCCAACTCAACCGAACTGCTTGAACAAAACTGGATAGAATTCAGAGATCTGCATGCCTACGTCTCCTGAGTTCTGGGATTAAAGGAGTGTACCACCACTCCTGGACCTAAAGCTGTTCTGAAACTTGCTCTGTACCAGGTAGGCCTTAAACTGAGAGATCTTGTCTGTCTTCTGGGACTAAAGGCATACCTGTATTCCAGCTGGATCACACGGACCTAGAAGGTCTTTGGATGTGAACTCTTGCCAGAGCAGCCATGTTATGAATTGAAATTCCTCTAAACGGTTGATGTACTTAAAAATACACCTTTATTTGCATTTTTTTCTCCCTACTCCACCCCAATCCCTTCCAACACACCCCAACACCAGGTAGAAGAGAGAAAGGGTTAGTAGGAGAGGGGGCGTAGTTCTTTCTGAGCTGCTTCCTGCTGGTTAGGGTCGTTGTTGGGTTCCTTGGAGCCAGTCCAATCCTTGTTTCAGGAGAGCTTCAATTTGTTTCACAACAGCAACTAGGAGCAGCAAGGGAAAATGAGGAGCAGCCTTGTTCTTTCTTGGAGCTCCACTCTGACTCTGGCATTTATCCTCTCTCCAGAGTCCTCAGATTTAAACTCTGTAGCTGGTGAAGAGTTCTGCACGAAGCAAATAGTCTGATGCTGTGGACCATCTGAATCAGTCTCACATCCCACACCTGGGACAAAAACAAAACATGTTTATATCCACACTATTTCCCCCCTTTCTGTTAAGAAACTGCGCTTTTTTTTTTTTTTTTTAATGTGAATGAAACTTGCTGTTGCTTTCTTAAAAGGAGATAATCAAGGAACCAAACACTTTTGGATCGATAATTTTTTTTATAACCTAATAACTTTTGGCTGCTCTTGTCTGGATCTTACAAGTTGAAACAGCTTTCCTGAATGTTCTTTAGGTCCCACTGAGATAGATGCTGGCAAAGAGTCCTGGTCTTCTTGTGGATCTTCTTGCATGGGTAATCTACTTCGTGTTCAACCACTTCCTACCCCATCAGGAAGACCCTGATTTCAGAGTCAGCCCATGAGCTACTACTTGGAAGGACCTTGAGGGCCTTTGTCCTGCCTCCTTCCCCTCCATCTCACACTAGACTCTTCAGTGTTTCTTAAACTTTCACCTTGGTGTACCTTTCTCTGCATTTTCCCTCCAGAGTGTATCTAGAGACTGGAGCCCCAGATTCAGTATTAGGGCCTCTGCTTAAAGCAGAAAACAAGTGTTCCTCCCCTTGTCTCTCATTCCAGGAAGTCCTGTGCAGGCCCTGCAGGTTCAACAGTACATAGAACACTGCTTTCCCAGCTCTTCTTCAGGCCCTGCTGACAGAGGTACTGGGAAAGCCGTTTCTACCTGCTGTTGAACCTGCAGGGCCTGCACAGGACTTTCTGGAATAAGAGATCAAGGAAGGAACCCTTGTTTTCTCCTTATGCAGAAGCCCTATACTGAATCCTGGGCTCCAGTCTCCAGACACACTCTGGAGGGAAAATACAAAGAGAGAGGCACACCAAGGTGAAAATTTAAGAAACACCGAAGAATCCAGTGTGGGATGGAAGGGAAGGAGGCAGGACAAAGGCTTTCAAGGTCCTTCCAGTAGTAGCTCATGGACCGTCTCCAAAATCAAGGTCTTCCTGATGGAGTGGGAAGTAGCTGAACAGGAAGTTGGCTACTCAAGCAAGAAGACCCACCAAAAAGACAAGGACTCTTTGCCAGCGCCTCTCAGTGGTGCCTAAAAAGTTGGGAAGCCCAATCGTCTGGTCATTCACAGCCAGGGCTGGCAGTAGGGGTGTCTGACTCCAGCTTCTGCTTGCTTGCCCACTTTTTTGCAGACTTCCTCAGCCAGCACTGTGTTGGTGTGTTCAGGATCGCTGTGTGAGGTCCCTTCCAGCATGGCTCCAAAATCTTTATGGTTATGTCTCCTAATCCAGACCTTGTCACCTGGTTCAAAGCAATGTGGGTTAGGAGGTGAAATGGACACAAATCTTTCTTGAAAGGCCAGAGACTCTTCTGAGTCTTATGCAATGCTTGGTAGGGATTCTAAAAATTTTTGGCTATCACATTCAGCAAGAATCTCAGACTGAAGATTGGGAGGAAGGGGAGGGGTCTCTATAGAGGATCTCAAAGGGAGAGAGAGCCAAAGTACAAGATGTATTTTTTGCTTTGTACAATGCATATGGAAGGAGGGCCGCTCAGTTACCGCCAGTTTCAAGGGTCAATTTGGTTAGTGCCTCCTTTAGGGTCCAATTCATTCTCTCTACCTGACCTGGACTTTGGGGATGAGCAGCACAATCAAGTTTCCAATTTATCCCCAACATATTTTATTAGGCCCTGGGTTACCTGAGAGATGAAAGCTGGTCCATTGTCTGACCCTCTGAGAGTGGGTAATCCATACCTGCATAGGATGTCTTCCAGCATCTTCTCTTGGCCACTACATTGGCAGTTTCCTTCTTGGTGGAGAAAGCCTCTACGCATCCTGAGAAGGTATCTATAAAGACTGGCAAGTACTTATAGCCATACATTCCTAGCTTTATTTCAGTCTAATCTATTTCCCAATTGGGCTCCTGGGCATTGGCCTCTTACCCTAGTCCTGGTGAGTCCTCGATTTGAGCCAGTGACATTGACAGCCTGGCATACAGGACAATAAGATGATTTTATCAACCTAGGTGAGAAATCTTATATTTGCCCCTCCTTAATAAGTCTTTGATTTTCCTTTGGCCCAGGTGAGTATCCTGGTGACCATTATGGAGAAGCTGTTGAGCAAGTCCTTATCAGCTCCAATTGCCCAATGTCCGGGATCCATTCACGGCCTCCTGGACTCTTCCAAAGGACTCTGGTCACTTGCCCAGCCTGCCCTCTGCAGCACATGCAGTTTGTCTTCTAGGCTCCAGCTGGCTTCCCTCCACTGCTGCTGCTGTTCTCGGTGGTCATCCATAGCACTGGCATCTCCAAAACACCAGGGTCTTCTGCTGCAACTGGGCTGCTCTTTCACCAACAGCCTCTCATAGGCTTTTTTCCTGGTGCCAAGCCTCAGCTGCTCTCCATGACTCCCTCGTGCCTTCCAAACCAGTACCGCCTTCCAAACCAGTACCACCTGGGTGACTCTTACACAACCAAGTTCAAATGCCAGCATGAGGCACATCCTCACCCAGTTCTGGAATACAGCTTCTATGTGCTGACTGAGAAAAACACTTCCCAGGAGATTTCACCTCAGTGATGCTGGTCTCTTAAGGCCTGGTGCCGTCTTGGACAAAGCTGCTCCCGTCGGTGAAGAGGACTCAAGCTTCGTCTGGCCGTGGGATGTAAGTCAGATCCAGTCAGATTTTGGATGTTGTAGCACGATGGAGCGCTCATGCTGGATCTGGCAAAAGGGTGGCTGTGTTGAGTGCTAAGGATGGGCTCCTTAAGGCAGAGCTGAGCTTTCATAGTCGATACCCAGACTGGCCAGATCTTGCAGCAGGTCTGTCACAGCTTGATGACAGGCGTCTAAATCTGAAGCAGCCACTAGGTAGGTCATCCACATACTGTAAAAAGAGTAATGTTGGGTGGGCATGCCTGTACTCACCCAAGTCCTCATGTAATGCTTCAGCGAAGATGGAGGGCAAATTTTTGAGCCCTTGCAGCAGCCTGGTCCAAGTCAGTTGTCCATTTTGAAGCTTTTTGTGTAGATCCAATGAAGACTGGTTGACAAAAGTCCATGGTGATGGCAGTCTGGTTCTCTTGAGCAGTGGGGTCAAAAGACTTATAGAGGTATGCGGTATGCCTCTAGCAAACTTTCCAGGAAGGTGGCCAGACTATCTTTTCCCTGTTTAACTTTGTTTAAATTTTTGGAAGCACCCCCTGAGAACCTGGCGGTAAACTTGGGAGACTCTCCTTACCTTCTGCCCTGTTATGATTCCAGTCGTCAGGGAGGGTGAGTGGAAAAGACGAATCGATGTCAGCCTCGACCTGGGTGATTACTCCGTGGGCACCTGGAACCAATTTCCAGGCAGCTGACAGAATGCGGTCCCTGTCCAGTTGTGAAAAGGACCTGTAACAGTTGTTGGCAGTCCTCCCACCTGGATGGAATCTAAGACATCAATAAGTTTAGCTGGCTTCTCAGAATGTGTGGCTCTGTAGTTCCCAATTCATAAATCACTGCTATTAAAAGGCGGTGAGTACAGTACTGTCTCCTGTTACCATCAGGGGTCCCCAAGGCTTACAAGGGAAGAGTCACAGCTTCCAATACCATTTGATGAGCTGCTCCTGACCTGGTGTATGGCGAGTTCACTAAAGGATCCTGAGGGAGAGCCTGCCCTCCTCTGGCCATCCTAATTTGAATGAGCCATTGGTACCCCACAAAAGGTGGTTCATTTACCCAGGCAATCAACCAAACCGGAATCCTCTGCAATTCATCGGAAATTGTTGAAGCACTCCAACACTAAACTCAAGGGGGTTTAGCCTAACTCACGATTAGACACTTCATTCCAAAAAACCACCACAGCAAGGCAACAAGTAAGACGTCGCAAACACAAGCAGACAGTAGAGAACAAAAATGAAACACAGGAAAACGGAAGCAAAACCCAAACGGGGCTTCAGTTGGTGTCAGCCCGTGAACACTTGAGGCAAAGTCACCTGGTGCCGGCTCAGAAACTGATTCTCCCACCTAAGAGCCGAAAAGCTCTCCCTGGGAGGTCTGAGTGTTCTCCGGTAGCATACTTTAAGCCCAACATCTGGGTACCATTTGTTGTCGAAACTTTAAACAAACAAACCCCCAAAACTCTTATTTACGTTTATCTTGTTCCTCCCTACTCCACCCCAATCCCTTCCAACACACCCCAACACCAGGTAGAAGAGAGAAAGGGTTAGTGGGAGAAGGAGTGCAGCTCTCTTTCTGAGCTGCTTCCTGCTGGTTAGGGTCATTGTTGGGTTCCTTGGAGCCAGTCCAGTCCTTGTTTCAGGAGAGCTTCAATTTCTTGTTTCACAACAGCAACCAGGAGTAGGAAGGGGAAAGGAGGAGCAACCTTGTTCTTTCTCGGAGCTCCACTCTCTGGGCTCTGGCATTTATTCTCTCTCCAGAGTCCTCATATTTAAATTATCTACAGCTGGCAAAGAGCTCCTTTCAGAGCCTGCATGAGGCAAATAGTCTGCTGCTGTGGACCATCTGAATCAGTCCCATGTTCCACACCTGAGACCAAAACAAAACCATGTTTATATCCACAACACATGGTTATATCCTCTGAGCACCTCTTGCACCCTGATCAGTGACACTCACTCTCTGGTCTGTGATAGCAACAGGTGATATCACACTGTGAAAACTCAAACCTTCACACACAGTTCACAGGAATATGAAATCTAACAGCCATGTTGGAAAGCAATGTGGCTTTCCTCAAAATTTAAAAACTTGTTGAATGCTCAAGTAATGTCAGTTTTTGTGTGTCTGTTAGTAAACAATGCTTATCATAGAAATAGTCATGATAAGCAGATAGCAGAGGGAAAACACAAATATCCATCAGTGGCTGGAAGCGATGAGTGGGTGTAATCACACAGTTGTTGTCATGTTTGAAGCCACTGGAAGAAACCAAAGACTTTACACTCAACTTAAATTTAGATTAAATGAATTTATTCATACTAGCAGAAGGAGAGCAGCCTTAGAGCCAAACAGCATGCCATGCAGAAGCGGGGTCAAGGTGGGGTTTCAAATAGGACATCAGAAAGGTGTGTATTACAACTAGGCATGGAATCCACACCTGGGAAGAAAACTGTTCTACTTTCCTCAGTAGTGTCTTACTTTCTGGCTACAGAGTAATAAAAGACCATTTCCTCCCTTTCCCATCAGCAATAGGCAGGTTTTACAGAAGCAAAGGCATCTGTTACTACCTCCCAGCCCGTTACCCTGTTCTTATCTCACCTGAAGGCCATTGGCTCTCCCAGGCATTCCAGAGCAAATGGCCAACGCCTGTGAGAGATGCCTGGCCCCATAGGAAGTTTCTTTGTCATCACAGGGGACCTGTGTAAATTATTACTCAGTGACTAAAATTATTACCCAATTTCAGGGATAGATTAGTTCATTTCTGGGCAGGCAAAAGCACAGTCCCATCAGGTTAGGGCTGGCTATCACATCTCCACACAGTAGAATACTAGCCTGCCATAATAAAGGATGAAATAATGGTTCATACCTTAGCTGACTGGCCCTTGGTAATGCCAATCACAAACACTACATAGTCCTTTCCTCTTGTACCAAATGTCCAGATTAAATGAAATTCCAAGCAAATTCAAATAGACAGTATTCAGTAACTGTCCAGGGCCAGGCTGGGGAACAGGAAGATTGAGAGGTTAGAGCTTGTGCAGTTGTGTGGAGTTGTGAGGAAGATGAGACCCTGTCAAATTAACTGTGGTGACAATTTCAACTCTGGAATATAAAGACCCTGGAACTGTAGAAGAGGAAAACAGTAGGTGCCTCATGAAGATCCCTGGGAGGAGTGGAGAGAAACAGAAGACACAAAGACCAGTTTTGAGATCACTACTCTTTGTCTAGATTCCTGGAGAGAAGCACTGTTAGTGATTTTAATATATATATTACATCGATATATACAGTGGTTAAATCCGCATTTGAGGGCCTGGAGGTGGTGGTGCAGGCCTTTGATCCCAGCACTCGGAAGGCAGAGGCTGAGGCAGAGGCAGAGGCCTCTGAGTTCGAGGCCAGCCTGGTCTAACGGGGGGAGGGGGAAAGAGGACGGGGGGGGGGGGGGAACCAGGACAGCCAGGGCTACACAGAGTAACCCTGTCTCAAAAAAACAGCAAAACCAACTCACCAATCAAACAAACAAGTAAAAATGGAACATATGCTGTAGGATGGAGCTCAGGAAACAAGGATGTCAAAAAGGAGATCCCAGATTCTACTGATCTGTCTGTCTCTCACCTATCTACCTAATTATTGAGGTAAGCCATGGCTATGTGGCTTGGACTGTCCTTGAACTCATCATCTTCCTGTCTCAGCCTCTCCAGTTGCTAGTATCACAGGTTTACACTAACTTGCCTGGCCATTTTTTTTTTTATCATTATTTAAATCAACAAAGAACAAAAGCTTGGTGTCTTGCTTGTTTATTTTAAAGTCACAAATTTAAACTGAAGCTGTGGGCAAGAGATTTGTGTTGACATGGCAGCTCAGACTAAATAGTGAATGACTTCCTGTTTGGTGCTGAACACATAATAGGCCCTTGATATTCAAAACTAATTTTTTAGAGTAAAAGCAGACTATAAATATATTATGTATATAATATTAATAAATAAATAATTTTGGAGTCAAAGCAGATTATATGTACATCTCTTTCTGTCTCTATACATACATACTATATATGTATATAACATATATATTGTGTATATATATATATATATATATATATATATATATATATATATATAGTCATTCCATGGGAGGAGTGGAGAGAAACAGAAGATACGAAGATACGAAGACTAATTTTGAGGCCATTACTCTTTATCTAGGTTCCTGGAGAAAAGCCTTGTCACTTCAGGCCTCTTAGGTCCTCACTCTCATGCTGCACCCTTCGCCACAGTATAATTCCATGTTCCAATTCGAATGGGTGCATGGGCATGTGGAGGTGAGCATGTGGAAGCCCGAACTGAAGCCAGCTGTCTTTTTCCATAGCTCTCACTTGATTTCCCGAGAGGCGGTCTCTCACTCAACCCAAAGATCACAGATTGGCTAGTCCAGCTAGCCAGCTTCCATCTGGGCTCCCTTCCCTGCCTTCTGAGCACTGTGGTTACCTGTGGGCTGCAATGAACACCTAGGGATCTGAATCCTGGTCCTCATGCTTGTATGGCAACCTATTATGTACAGGGCATACTTTTATCACCCAGACAGACTTTATGGCAAGTGTTATATGAAAGAGGAAACCACTGACTGGGGGGATGGTAACACAGAATCTGAAACTTGGGATAGAAGAAATGGTAGGAAATGATTTTTTAAAAAAAAGTATGCTCTTCGTTTAACAAGACAGCAAGCCTCTGAAATGTGTGATAAGCTGCCTCCAAGTAAGTACAACCAGGAAAATAAAAAAGAAAAAGGAAATGACATAGTTATAGTTAAGAATTTAGCTATTGGGCTAGAGAGATGGCTCAGTGCTTAAGAGCACTGTCTGTTCTTCCAGAGGTCCTGTAGTTCAATTCCCAGCAACCACATGGTGGCTCAAAACTATCTATACTGGGATCTGATGCCATCTTCTGGCATGCAGGATTAAACAAACAAACAAATGTAGTTATTGTAGCAGAGAATACAAGAAAATAAAAATCAAACAATTTACTCCATCAGATTAAAAATAAGTAATATGATCATACAAATAGATGCAAAAAAAAAGCACTTAAATTATTACAACAGTCATTTGTTTAAACCCAAATTAGGGTTACAGGGCCAGGCATTGGTAATTCGCACACCTGTAATCACAGTACTTGGGAGGCAGGTGGATCTCTGTGAGTTCAAGGCCAGCCTGGTCTACAGAGTGAGTACCAGGACAGCCAGAGCCATACAGAGAAACCTTATCTCAAAACAAAACAAAAATTGGGGCTACAGAATAATTTCCTCAATTTAACTAAACAAAACGAAGAAGAAAAGTATGGGATTCAGAAGACAAAACTCTTAAGGACACAGCACGGAATAATGGGCTCCTTACCCAGAAAGTTGCTAAATAAGAAGTAAAGCTAAGGAAAAACAAAACAAAACAAAAGTAAACAAACAAACAAAAAACAAGGTAAAGGAAAGAAGAGGGAATGGAGAGATGGCTCAGCTGTTAAGATCACTTGTTGCTCTTCTAGAGGACCAGGGTTCAGGTCCCAGCACCCACAGTGGCTCCCAACCATCTGTAACTCCAGTTCCAGGAGCTCTGAGACTATTCTGACATAGTCTGGCAGCAGGCACAGGTGTGGTACATATACATGCGTGCAGGCAAAACTCTCACTCATAAAATAAATTTAAAAAAT